TGGGCTGGGCTTGCATTTCCTCTTGTTGGCTTTAAAAAACTGATTTGCTGGTGTTTATCCCATATTCGCGGCTTTGTCCTGGGACTTCCACGTCATATGTATTAGGGTCGGATGCTCATGTACAACTAGCAAGTTTGCGTCCTTACAGTGCAATTTGACATAAAGCGATCAATGCGCTCGATCTTTCCTATATAGGATTTTATCTTGAAGCCTTGTATATTTGGAAGCTCTTTGGATGAGATTATGCGTATTCAAGCCTACCGATTTCCGCACCTCAAACTACCATGGATCCAGATTTTCCTTACGGAGGAATTACTTCGATTGGGTGGATCTCGGACAGAGGGAATTTTCCGGTAAGTTTACATGCAATTGTCTGTGTATGTCTCCCACAGTTCCCAGTCGTCTGTTTGATCTTGTACTATTTTGTTTTTTGTTGCTTACATATTACCAAGCGTTGTGATTGAATAGGAAAACGCGTGATAAATTTCGCCCTGTGGGCTTCTGCGTTACCCTCATAATTCACTTGCTGTGGATAACGTTCTCCTACCTAAAGATGGTGAATGTCAGTTTGGAACCGCAGCGATCATTTCTTCAGGGTTCTATTGAGTTTTCTCATGTTCGTGAACAGGGATGCAACACCTGTACAGCACTCATCCGCTTTTGAGTATGGCTGACATCCGATGTGTATGTGGCGATATCCAAAATAGTAACTAAATTGTTCAATATCTGGTCCTTCCTTAGTTGGAGTTAGTTTCCTGATGAATGTTGCGTGACTTTTTATAATCTGTATGTACATTACTTGTGTTTGAGGAGCCGTTTTGTTGTCTCGGTTAGGCTACACTAAACCGGGACCAAGGGAATCAGATTATGTTCTTATTAGGGCTCATCGGCAGCGAGTCTTCTCGGTTGAAATTCGAACTTCTCTTACATGAGACACACGCATTAGCGTGGCACTCTACCAACGCACGTTGGAAAAGTGCGACGGTCACTACCGCGTTCCTTTCCGTGTTCCAACTAACCGTTTGTTTACTGTCCGTTTTATCCCTGAGTGATTCTGTTGGCTACGCGTTGCGTATCCCGGAGTTTTGGCAAAACAATTCTTGATGGTCCCGGTTCGTTGATGGTTACTTATTATCGTGTGGCATTGATTTCTCGCTGTTCTCTGCGTATGCGGCGTGCTCGTAGGCTTTCATGGTCGTTCATTCTCGGTCCACGTTGTGGCTAGAGATCAAATAGACATCGATATTTACGTTCAGACAGATTACCTTGAATTACCTTTCCGCGCGTCGGTTGGATCCCACATGATCACGTTGATTTTATAATCTGTGCCTTCTGAACGATCACAACTTGGTCGTTCGGTACAGTTACTCTCATCACAACAGTCTAGTTTCGCTATACCTTTCATGTCAGTTCTGAAACGAAAATGTCAGACAGATCAGTATCTAAGTGCGGGGTTATGTCGATAAAATCTATCCTTCGTTATAGACACAGCGCTATCACCCCGTTTGGTGCGCGCGTGTTTTCTCATCGGGGCCAATTACAGTTACGTCCTCTTTCGGTCTAAAAGTTCCTTTTCCGTTTTTGAACATGTTTCCGTTTTTATTAAAAGTTTTGAGGTTCCCAGGGGGGGGGGTTGAAAATTATGCAGGGTCGTTCCGCGGCACAACTCCGTTTGTTAACTGAAGAGGGAGCTATATTGTTCAGTAGGCAATACTTGCAGAGGGATTTAATGTAACTCGCCTAGAAAATCGATGGAACCGGCACACAACAGACAAGTCTCGTAAGGAGCATATACCCCGAAAATGAAGCACCTTTTGATTGGTATTTAAGCGGGAGTATTGCGATAAGTATCTAACCGAAACTACAAGGAACCGGCAGCGCATATTTGGAACGTGTCATTGTTCGGATGGGGGGGATAGTGAACTCACCCTTGCTTATTCATATAATAAATCGAATGGATTTGATCAGCCTACTTACTGTGGCTTTTCCGCTACCCATTGTGGATTTGCTTGACTTCACGTGAACAACAAAGACCTGTTTACTTCTTCCAGTAAAATATAGCTTCGACTCAAGGAACAGGTTGTGTGTAGCATTTTCCTTTTAATTAAAGGGTTATAAAGTGCTTGATTCGTCTAGATCGTATATTCCAGGGGCCCATTTGGTCATCAGGACACTGGTTATTTTTAAAACAGCTCGATATCTTGCATATGGGCTGATCTGAACCCTCAGGTTCACTGCACTGCATACTCAGTCGGGTGGCGTTAGTTCACCGTCGTCTAACTCACGCAAACGGTCCGGGGTCGAACAGCATACCACTGGAAGGTTGTATAGTATGAAAACCGACTGAATACTGGCAGATTATTACCACAAACGAGGCGGTGATTCGAATTCCGTTGATACTCACTGTACCGGTCGGTGGCTTACCCAACTGTAGTCGGTGATTGATTCGAGTACACTGTTCGAACCCGTTAACATACAATTCCTCCGAGCAACTAATGAAACCAACGATTTGGAAGTGCACAACTCGTTGAAAGAGAAGGCTTTATTATTAGGTGGCTTTATCGATGGGTGACGTTTGGTAAGCAGTAACTGGATGAGTGTTTCGTTTTTTGGTTGTGAGATAGTTTTTCTAAATTACAGTATCTAGTCGCCTGACTGCCGTTTTTATTCATCGTTTGCAGTTCAGGCTGGCGCACAGATTTCTTTTCGGTTCATCATTATATTTGAGTGCTAGAGACATGGAAAACGACTGCAGGGAATTACTTGCTCTTAAACCGATTTGCCTGCTGCTTTGGAATCGGAGTCCGGAAACAGTATTAGATTTGGGTACCAAATCACAAGCAAGGCTGTCCTATCGTCAACTGCTAAAACGTGCATGCGGTCTCCGATTAGTTTCACTCAGGCAATCGGCTTGGCATTGGCTTCCGCAGGATGCTGCAGAAGAGCATAGGTGTTTCCTAAAATGAGACCTCGCCTCATATGTTTTCTACCCTCTGTCAATAGACGTGTAATTCTTTTCTGATTTTGAACGTGAATGTCTGACTGACCGAGCTAGGAAGCTTAACCCCCGAAAACAGAGCCGCAGCTTCTCAGGGTCTGCTTATGAGCCGTAAGCCTCTAGCTCGTCCCACGTGAGCAATCTATTTACATCGGTATCAACCTTGGGACTGATATTGTTTCCTTCGACTATTTCTTTTTTTGGTTTTCGGCTTTGCTTCTGGTGTGTTGCGATTGACAACCGTTTTCTAATAATCCACGTGATGACTAATCAATCAGTTCTTCCTGGTCTGCGATGACTCATGCACTGCAGGGTGCATATTGCTGTTGCTGCTGCTTTCCACGTCCACTGTTCTTCACACGTTGTTCATTCAGTGTGCTTGTGTGTTTCACAGCTGGATTCTATTATGAAATACTGAAGTTCGTTTGTTCAGTAGTTCAGTGTCACCCTATGGGTGATGGTCGTAATCCACACCGGTGCTTGATTACGATGCGGTCATGCGCAGTGGCCAACTGGCGGGTGATTCATGCTGGTTGTCGCGGAATTTTAAGTCTACAGTCAGAAAGACTTTTCAATTCAATTGGAAAATGTTTGGGACCAATTGAGACATCTGGTAACCAGTGTTAGTCATCCGCACCAACCAAGGAACAGGAACATCAGACTGACACGCAGCACTGATCAAGTCGGCTAGTCGTATGAACTCTCCCACTGATTCTCTGACTGCTTCAAGACTCAATCAGCATGGTAATTTATTCACTTGGCTTGACGAAGCATTTGTTTCGAAAGCGAAACGTTGCTTAGCAATAAATCCACCTATATGTTTACCAAACTTCTCTCAAACGACGAATTGTTGTGTCTTGTATCTCCTAGCGGATTGCGTACAATCTCCGCCAATTACACTGCTAGTATTCTGACGGGCAAATTCGGTCACGTCTCGCTTTCTCGTTTCGCCTTTTCGGTGAATTTTTCTGTCTGCAACCAAGCGACTTTCACAGCCTCTGTAGGTCTTCTTGGATGCGTGGCATGGTGGCCCTTGCAATACTTTGCCAGTAACGTATGATTTAGAGCCAATTCACCAGGCCATTATATCATCCATGATACAGCCTATTTAGATCCAGTTCACAAATATGCTTTTAAATTGCGAACGCTTTACTTGCGTGTCGCCGCCTCTTAAGTGAAATACGACCTTATCCTCCAAGAGCCGACTCCCACGGTCCTACTGTTCTCTGTGAGATCTAGAGGCACCCACTTTTCTCCTGGTACAATATCCCCCTCATAACAAACCAGTTTGTTGTCTGTAGTTTGTCTTTATCTTGCTGTTTCCGCCTGCATTGTTGTTTTATTACAGACTGCCCAGTGGTTATTTGGTTATAGCATTACTTCTTTTTGAAGTAGGAACCCTTGTTCTCCCGAGAAACGAAATTGAAACTAAATGCTGCAATTTTTTCTTTGAGTTTCATGCATCTTGTTAATAGCCATTAAACTTCAAAATTTCGGCCTTTGAAGGTATCTTCTTTTCGAAAGCGACTTGGGTGGTACTGTTCGAGCATGAGATTATGGGAATGAATCTGCATACTCTGTCACATCGAAAGTCCGTTTAGGTAGCTGATTGTTCTCTTCCCTTTCCTCCAATTTTCTGCATCCGTGAACAGCTTTTTTCCGCTGTTTTTCTCAGCCATAGTGTATCGTATCGCGAGTAAGCTTCCAATGCTCTTGTAACATAGTGATGTGGTAGGTACTCTTGCATCCAGTCTATGGGACAACAGTTGCATGCGATGCGAAAGAATGGGCTGATCTGTCAAAAATTTTCATTCGATGAATCCATGCATGGTCTTGGCTGCTGGGCGTATATACTGTGTGCTAATCTGATGAGTTCAACACCTTGGCTTACCCATGTCTTGGATGCAACCAGCTGCCTAAGAATCATCTTGCCAACACCTCAGTAAAGTGTTCTGAGGTGAGAGAAGCTTCTTCAAGCTTTGGGCGGTCAGATCATTTGCTTTTCTAATACAGAGCCCTCTGAAGCATTTCCTATCCTAATTGCAACATTCCAAAATACCGTAATTTTGCACTCTGTGTAACCCACCGGCTAATAAGCGTTCACTCAGTTTCCAATTCTGATGCACTCATCTGCCAGTAAGGACTAGAGCAATTTGTTCGTGGATCTACTTTAGTGGTTTTTCGATCGTGAGTCAAACCTTTCTATTTAATCTTATTCAGTCTCTCTCCCGATCTGGATGTGATAACGGAGCTCCGATGTCAGCTTGAAAAGCTTTTTGAAATTTTCCGTGTGACGTACAATGCGAATGTGGATGGTGCACCCCAAAACGCAACTGATCCGACTTCCTCAGATCGATTTGTGATACTCCGCCCACCCCCAGTCAGTTGGTCAGCGTCCTTCTCACACTCAGAATCACAAATGCCGTTTCAAGACTCCAGCGATTCGGTCAACTCATCCCCGAACCCTAGCATAGAGAACGCGAGCACTCTGACTGGCGAATATAAGTGGCCTGTGGTTCCTCTCCCTTTGAGCTCTCCACCCTCTGAGTACATTCTACTCACACCCACAGCTCACTGGCCCCGTAGCTTACTCACAATGGCAAAGCAAAGCCCTCTAGGGTTCAGTGCTCATCAAGTGGATGCACACTTAGCAGCTGGTCTGTTAAAGCTCTGGTTACGCGAGTTGGCAGAACCGCTTGTGCCACCCACCTTGCAACCATTGTGCCTGAAAGCTGCGGCGGAGGCTGAGCTTTATGAATCACACTCCTCAAGTGAAGCACAATTGACCAACTCCGCCGACCCGAATCCAGTTCAAAATTGTTGTCGTTTGATTCGCAAAATCCCGTTGCTGGAACGACGTTGTCTACTCTACTTGCTTTTATTGCTTCAAGTAAGCGAAACTTTATCACAATGGTGTCTTTATCTCATGAGGTATTCTGAGCGGACAGTTGTTCGTGTTTTGGACATCTAGTGACTCTTGTTTTGTTTTGAAATTGGTGGATAGTGCTCGTATCGGGTTGTGCTGTACCCGTCTATACTGAAAGTTTGCCTCAAGATGTATAAAGCACCACTTGGAGTTGGACTGAAGTGTTAGATAACTGCGAGCTAGTCGGATTTCGGTTGCAGCCTCTTTAATTTTTCTGCACAGTAGCGTGTGCTGTCGTTTAACTACGGGTAACTTCGCTGCATACGGTCACACGACCGTACAGCGTGCCCATGGATCGATGCCCTCCTATTGACTCGTTTTGCGTTGGTAGACAAACCATCGTCTTATCCCATCATGTCATTCCATTTTCAGGTCCTCGCCCTCCAGCTGTATGTATGCTTCAGTTTCGTGGCTAGAAATGCACACTATGGATCGGACTTGAAGTCTGCTTGGTGCGTAGACATAACCGTAGCGACGCAGTCAGTTGCCGTTACTGTCTGCGGTTATGCAGTTGTGTTGCTTCACTTTGTTTTCAGTCCATAGTGTGCAATTCGGTGGTGGTGAGCCGGGCACGTTTCCAACCCAAGAGACACTGATATTTAATGACAGGTGGAATCTGATTGTGATCTGTTTCGCTCAGTAATTTAATGTTTATCTTAGGCTTTTGTGCTGCCATTGTTTATCCGTTTACGTCAGGTCCAGAACTCTGCTCGGACATCCTGTTGTTTCAGAACAGTCTTTTATGGTTGGCCAGATGTGAGATGTATTTGGTTACCGTGAAGGTGAACTCTTGAGATTATGAAATTTGCGCATGTTCTCCCAGTGAGCCTGTCCTCGACAGTCACTATCCAGCTTCGTCTCTCTCGTATCTCCTAATGCATTATACATGTGTACGGTCGGAGTGAATTGTCTGTTGGTATCTGTCCGTTTTGAATTCGGTCAAGCCATCCACTTTTCGTAAGTGCGATGGAGCAGTCATATGACTAACTGAACTGCTTTAACTGCACTGAGAGCAGCACACCCTTCCTAGTAAACAGAAGTAGAGTAGCTGACATGCAGTATCAAAGTTAAACATTTTTCTGTATCGTTGGAAATGGCAATAACTCTCTTCAGTGTGTCGCTTGTTGCACCCTGGAGTACACGAATTTCTCTGTCAATGCACTTCGTGGTGGCTTTCATTTACCTTGGCATCCCCTACGGGTATTTGAAGGTAGTGGTTTGTTCAGCCTCTTGTTACGTTGGTATTGGGTGCCTGTGAGTTCGTCTGAAAGTTCTGACTTCCACTATGCTATGGTCAAATGGCAATGTCTGAGTCTTTTTACGTGTTTCAAAGTCGATGTGGCATAGTGGGTTCTTGTCTGTGTAGCAGTGCGTTGCAATGCTGACGTAACTGCTGAATGTGATGCACTACTACCTGCAGATAGTGTCAGCTTCATTGCTGACGGAACGTTTGCATCCAAGTTTCTGAGTTCAGAGAACAATTCGACCATCCACTTCGCAACCTGGGCTGCCAGTATTCTATTTTTTATCAAATACTGCCCCTGGGACGTTGCATTAACTAATCTACTTAAACTGTACGGTGAATGAACAGCAAATGAATTCGAGGTATGTGAAAAACTGGTCCTACTCGAAATGATTGGAAAAAAACTTTTCAGTTAGCACAGCGTTATTTGCCTTACTGTGTCCCCTCATCTCCTTTGTCGATACGGACCATTCTGAGTAATTTCACTTTGTCAGTTTGGTTTGGGACATACGGTTTCTTGATGTGGTGTCTGCCTTGATGCCTTTAACTCCCCTCCTCCCAGCGTTTGGCTAAACCGGAGAATGCCTCCATATCTCTCATGGATCCGCGAAACCTGGCAACAGTGATTGCACCAAACTTGATGCGATCTAGCAGTACGGACCCAAAAGAATTGCTGGAGAATATTCGGCCACAGACTTTGTTTGTCCGTCTCCTAATTTCGCATCTAGACGTTCAGGAAGAAATACAGGCACTTATAAATGATGAGCAACCGGCTTATGTTGGTTGGTCTACTGCATCCACGGTGCCTGCCACTCCTCCCGAGAATCCGTCCAACCATCCCAAATCAGACTGATATACTTATCCTTGGAGCTTCGCGTCTTTCATACCTTAGCCACCTACAACCCTATGACGGTTCTTATGCTCGCTAACTGTGATTGTTGGACGTGTTCCTCTCTCCGGCTGTACCCTGTTTATTCGTCAATGAGCATTTGCAAGCGCCTAATATCACATCAGCCATCTATATATCTCGTGGCTCTTGATATAGAAACCTTAACGCATTTCGATTAAATTGTCCCATAAATCTGATCCACACCCTTCACGCGTTCCTCCTGGTTTTCTCCGCTCAACCTCATCTCGTCCAATGTGCTTTCGATTATGCATTTCTCAACCAAATGCATTAAACTTCACCCACTGTGCAATCACCCTCACCACCCTCATCCATCCCGCGCCGATGAGAGCGCACCACTTTCTCCCTATTTCTTCGTAGAAAACTTTGCCCTACAACTAAGGGTAACTTTGGTTCATGAATATGTACCTTCTTGGGTTGCTTTTTCATCTTTGATATTGCATGCCAGTACTATTGATTTTCAAATTACGTATCGGATTTGTTTTTTTTCTTGTTTCATTTTTAAAGTCCATTCTACTGTCGACTATGGGCAGATAACGTTTTTTGTCCAATCCGTATTCACACATTTTCCTAATAGACGTCCTTTTCAGGTTACCTATGTATCCGAGTGCACCCTAATGGTACGTGTTGATCGCATGTTTTGTCTGATTCCTCCTCGTCAGTTGTTCCTCCACACTGTACGCCTCCAGGGTTGTTTGCGAGTTTTGTATTCTCCATCACGGTTTCGATACACCCAGTAAATTGTACGTGGCCTGCCTCTGCTGCATGTGATAGCCCACAAGTAAATTTACTAATTTGACTTTAGTGTGTGGTATTACTCGATCTCTTAGTCAAGTGTATGGCATTAATCTTACACCTGAAGCGGCTTTAACTATACAACGTACTATCCATTTAGACTGAATCACCATTTCACAGAAGATTGTACCACAAATTATCTGGTGGTTTTAATGCCAAAGATGGGTTTTAACTAAAGCAGCCAGATTAGATCTTCTCGTAAAAGTGGGATAGAGTTGAGCCGAAAATAGAAGAGGAATAGTCCCGGGTAATTCGACCCTAGTAGCTTTGTTGTAACGACACAGTCGATGCATTTTCGTCATCTGAACGCTCAAATAGATAACCTGTGTGTTGAGCATACTGTGAACGGACATCCAACCCAATCGATCATATTCTCCGTCCATCACTATGCGGGCCTACAAAATCTGCCGCCAAGGGTGATCAGTATCAGATACTCTGCTTCCGGATCCACCTCACCTAACATCGGGAAGACGATAAAAAGTAAACCTATGAAACGACGATATGTTTAGTTGGACGTCGCTTCTCTGTAGCGTCCGCCAGAAAATGAAGACCGATTTAAGCACTTTTCCTGTGCTACGACGATCTTCAGTTGCTTCCGAAAGAGACCATCTGACGAGGTTGTCGCTCTCACGTTCGACCGATAATTCCACCGATATTTCAGTGGCTTATCAGTATTAAATATCTAGCAGCATTAAGCGTTATAATTACCCTGTCACAATGACAAATGCCGTGTTTAGGGGCTTCACAACAGCGTAAGAGGAATGTGATGAGGATCTGAGTTGGAAATTTTCCATAGAACGGCAAGCATTTGTGCACGAAATGGCGGTAAAATGTTTGGAGACACGCGATCCGAGATTACGCCATCTGCGCTGCCTTAGTGGTCTTTGCAAGAATAAAGTGCGGTACCAGTAAGAATATGGTCGAAAATGCAATACAATAAAATCCTCGGTCACGTGTCGTTTCCGATCTTGTTGGAACTCGTCAGGTGAATGCTGGATCGTACGAAAGCACTGCTGTGACCGACCTTTTCAAGATCCAGTCACACATTTAGCGTAAAACCTCAGTTGAATTCCAAACATTTTGCTGGACAGGTCGTCACCAAACCGGGTTTGGAGGGAATGGAATGGTTTGGGTCTTGTGGTTTACTGTGCAATAGTGAAAATGCCATCGGTTTCACAACTAATTTCATTAGGGAAACTATCGGGTTTTCCCAACAACCAGGGGTCCTCTTTGTCGAAGAGTGGTTGTTATCGGGTCTTTTGCGAGGATTGAAAATTATCTATCAGTGGTCTTTGATTGTCCAAATAAACTAACAGTTCGCTTGAACAATAGTCATACCTAAAATCAACTACGAGTAAGTCTTAGACTGTAACATATTGGTGTATCCAACAATGCGCTAGTGGAATCAAGGTTGTACAGTCATATGCTCCGGGATTGCAGTGTATGTAAACTTAATTCGTTTGTTTAGGTTAGCCTACCGCAATTTCGTGCGCGACCAATCTCCCATCCTACTGTTCGTCACACAGGATCTCTTCAAATTAAACAAACCCACATTAAGATAATTGATTTTTTCTGAAACCAAATCTGTTTGTTATCCTACAATTTTCGCAAGGTATCGAAGTTCACGGTGATTGTCCAAGCAGCTGTTTAACGTAGTCAATTTCATACTCGCAAGGACATCGACTGATCGCACATGTTCAAGCCAGGATCATCGTTTTTGTATGGAAGTTGTGCATGAGAAGAAGCCCATTTTGGTTGTTTGGAACAAATGATAAGTGAAAAAACACAAGTAATGAATGGAGTTCCGTTGGTCGATACATTTTGTGTGGCAATTGATGGTTATCCTAACTCCGCCTGAAACAGCCACGTAAGTGCACCGTTTGGTTCGTCTCTGGTTGGTGTTGGCAAGTTAGACGAGGTATAAAGGTAAGAATTGAAACAAAAGGTCTCCCACTTACATCGGCGGCAGACTGAGTGAGTTTATAAGGATAAGGTGAACACAAACTGATGGTCGAGTATTTTGGTTAATCTCTCCTGATTAGTACCATCCCATATGATAAACATCTAAATGTCGTGACATTCTAAATAGGTAATACGATAGACGGCGAACAACCTCAGGGTAGATTCAATGGCTATCCGGATGACTAGCTCAAGGCAATTGGTGTTAGGTACTTGTTTAAATATCTCAGTTAAGCGGTCCGTGGTAGAATCGTGTGGGGTGGTGGAACGTGTTTTTAAAAAAGGCGAGAACAACTTTCATACTTCGGTGGTGCTCGGTTCTCTTGCAGCTGGTATACGTTTTCCAACAGGCCCGGATAGAACACTGGATGATATCCTAGGTGGTCTTCAATGGAGTGGCGATTGCACTTGCGATGGTCTTTATGCTACGAGGCCCTAGTCAGGCCAGACATTGCGGCCCGACCGCTTCGAATAAACATCTCTCTACTCAAACGACGCAGTTTGCTGTAACTGAAAGGATAAACAATCGTTAATTAGTTCATCAACTGAGGCCTATCTTCTAGACCGCGTCAAGCTTTGAACTAAACCAGATTCAAACAATACTTGGCGCAGAAAATTGTTCGGGTTTGATTATGACGAAATTGACGATGTTGCGGAATGTGGGTAGCTCGGGTGCGCTGCTTGGTTGTTTGTCTGCTGACCGAGCTTGCCAGTTGGACTGCAAACGTTTAAACACCGGTCGAGTTCACAGTGCCAGTGCACTGATAATGTAACGCAACATCTTCCAGACAGCACTATTCATCGTTCGGTCGGGTGTGGCAGTAAAGTCGTCCTCTAAAAACTGATCGGTTTCTCATTCTCCCTAATATTATTGTTGCATTGTGGGAGATTATCTTCTACTCACCTGGTGACGTTTCCGTTCGGCTAGCATAAAATTTCGCACATTCGTGTAACCACCTATTCCGTTATGCCTAGAATGCGCGAAAAAGGGATGAAATCCGCCATGGAAGTGTATGAAACTCATGGAGAGGTGTGCTTCACGATACAAACCATATATAAGCATCCTTGCCAGTTACCCCGAACACGTCTTTGGTATTCTGCAAGGAAATCAATGTTACTAGCAGAAGCTTAACGCAGTTAGTCTTTCAATTTTTTTGATTAATATATTTACTAGAGGTTTGAACGGAAATACATATTGTAGATCATCTATCAGTTTGTCGGTAGGGTTCTGAGTTAACGTTGAATTGTACATCCAAATTACAGTGCCAAATGCTCCACGTGAAACAGGTGGTGGGTAGATGGAGCTGAATATTGCGATGTTGAAGTTAGGCAAGTAGTCCCTAACAGGAACGTCAGTTAGCAGTGAAAAAGGTAATGCTGCGTACTCGGAGTGTGAACTGTAGTGTTAGCCAGACAATCAGTTGCAAAACGAGTCTTTTTCGCCACACTGCATGACTATTTAATCGTTCTGGCGTACATTTCTTTTACGTCAGGTCACCTAACACCTCGCAGTTTAGCTTGACTGGGAATCTTACACCGGATACATTTTATAAGTGGGTAACGTTTTTTAATTATATTATTGACAACCTGATGATAAAAACACTCGCTACTTCCGTACTGATGACTGCAGTTTTTTTACCGCCAACTACATTAAACTTACTCGGAATCCGCACACGGTGAGCTTTCATTAAAATAAGCATTCTAAAATACGGTACCTCTCTTCCCCACTATAACCTTTCTTAGGTCAGGCTGGAAAGTGACTGGGGATTGAGATAAGTCATCACTGCCTTGACTGTATCCTATTCAGCGTAGCGGCCGTAGTTGATTCCGACGCCTCTACTCATTTTTGGAGTTACGAGAAGTTCCTTTTGTTTTCATCGTATAAACTGTTTGTGCTCACATTTTATGATTTTTCAAAGATTCATAATGTGTGAATTAACTTAATGCTTATGTATTCCACCGACATGTATCTGATATGTTCCCTTATAAATACAGTCTGAAGGTTGCAGTCGGGCTTATTGTTCTTGTTTATGGCACTGATAGCCTTGCATCGAATTTCCTACAAAATCCTGAAGACTCCCTTGGGTTCCTTTTTCGGCCTCTGATTAAACATTGACAACTAAACCGTGCAGACAATGATATATTCAAGTTTGCTTATTACTTATTCTGCGCATAACTTGTCGGCTTTGCCTTTATAATTGTTCTTGTTTATGGCACTGATAGCCTTGCACCGAATTTCCTACAAAATCCTGAAGACCCTCTTGGGTTCCTTTTTCAGCATCTGATTAAACATTGACAACTAAACTGTCCAAACAATGATATATTCAAGTTTGTTTATCACTTATTCTGCGCAGAACTTGTCGGCTTTGCCTTTATAATTTTTCTTCTCGGATTTGCTGTTGTGTTGTTTGACTGCATCGACCTTGAGATGACAGCCCACTTTCGGTGTGCAGACCAAAAAGCACCTTTCCCGTTTGGCAACATTAGCGCATACACACCCATGTAAGTTTTCTTGTGCTTCGAAGTCCATGTGAGCCTTTTGGTAGTCTCCTGGCCTAGGGGCAGAGCATTGCGGGAAACAGTGGGGAGCAATCATTGTTATTTGCCTGCGATGGCCATATGTAAGTTTTCTTGTGCTTCGAAGTCCATCAGTGACAAACATACTTTCGGTCCCACTAGCACGCATGAGGGAAAAGCTTTCCTTGGCCATCTCTGTTTATGCCATATGAGGAACTAAATATAAAGAAGACTACTGACGATCCATGTGAGCCTTTTTGTAGTCTCCTGGCCTAGTGGCAGACCATTGCGGCAAACAGTGGGGAACAATCATTGTTATTCGCCTGCGATGGCCACCAAGATAAGCTTGTGTGGTCTGTGAGATGGGCGGATGCTGGTAAACAGCGACCAAATTAAGAAAGATTAGAGGCTTACTTTTATAGTTATACAACCTGGTGACGGTTGAAAGACCATCGACCGGAGT